AATCGATTAGAGAAGTCTTCTGCGGCCACCTGGCCAAATATTCAAAATTGATTTCTACCAAACTGAAAGTGTTTAATGTGTCCCGCGAGGTGCTCAAATAACCTTACGAAGTTGTGAGCGCTGTGAAACCCTTACAAAAACGAAGCCAAACAGTAACAGTTTATGAATTCAGAGGGGACTACTAGGGTCCTTGGAAAAACTCACAAGCAGTGACACAGCTTGGGATAAGCTTCGTTGAGTCTTAAAAGAAACAACAACAAAACCGTACGAATCAATGCCATCAACAGCTGCCCTTTGTTGGGCTCAGTTTGGAGAAATAAAGATATCAATGGCGCCAAGCTTATCTCAGTGAGCCAAATTTTGTGATGGGTGAAAAGGGATGAGACGATGGGAGAGGATTAGGTGGGCGGAAGGCGGGGAGGCTTTTCGATGTGAATAGACGGTGATTAAAAAATATATAATTCTATATTTCCGCCTGAAAAAACCCAAAAGATTTTAAAGATTTAACGTTTCAAGGTGAAGAACTTATTTATTTATTTATTTATTTATTTGCTACGTATTCTTTTATTTATGTATTTTTTGTATTTTTTTTCTCCGTATTTTTTCTCTGTATTTTTCTTTCCTTTTTTGTTGGGTATATTTCTACTTTTCGTTGGATGCGTACCGACATTAAGAATAATCCTGTCAGGAAGTAAGACTTTAACTGACAACACTTAACCCATCACATGTACTCGCGCAGGCGACCACGCTTCATTGTGTTCTTTTTAAAATATTCTTTTGCTTTTGTTTGTTTTTGTTTTGTAGACTTACTTATTTAGGTGTTTTTTTAAAACTCCATTCGTCCCAATTTGCCTAATTTCGAAGGCAGGATTCCAACCTTCTTTGTCAGGACCAACCGTCGCTGAAAGGGATACAACATCCATGCAGAATAATTGAGGTATTCGATTAAAATTCTCTACCCTTGGGAATCAAACTTGGGTCTTCAGCATGGAAAAACAAAGCGTTTAACTGCTACACATTAGACGCCAGTTTTAGCATTCTTGAGGAATGTATACATACCTCGTCTGCTGAACAACAATAAGGTTGTAACTCTGAATTTGTTGTGTTTTGAGTCCGACTCTTCCTTCTCCTCCTCCTCCTCCGCCGACTCTTCCTCCTCCTCCTCCTCCTCCTCCTCCT